CTTCCATCTCCACCATTTCCAGCACTGGGATCAACAAGCTGAATCTCTGAAACATTGCATTCCCTAGGATCTATAGCCAGTATCAGTCTGGAGCTAGCTCCAGCATCACTTGCACCACCCCCTTGAGTATCTCCAGCAGCTTGATCAACAAAGATATCATGATGCGCCTCCAAAGCACTCCAAGTATGCTTCCTGCTATGAATATTGTTAATGCTTTGAGGGGATCTTGGAGCATCTCTTTGAAAGACATCAGAATGAGCAGCAGCAAGAGGTCTCCAAGAAGTGGAGGTCACCATTCAACCACCATAACCTCCTCTCTGATCCCATCTTGTAACTCTCTGCCCACCTCTTCTACTTGGAACCCTGATTGGTGCTGAATGATGGTTAGTTGGAGGAGCTCTTCTTGATTCAATCCCTCCATGTTCTTCACCTCCCACAATCGAGAAGGAAGAGGCAGCTGAAGTAGTTGGGGAGCAATGGCGTTTGGTAGATTCATGGGCTGCTTCATGAAACCCTCTCTTCTTACTTAAATGTTGTGAGGCTGTCTCATAAATCTTGGTAGCTCTTGTGCTTCTTCTGTGTTGCACTTCGTTGGTGCCAATAGCAGGGTCCATCAGAGGCATTTTTGGATATGGAGGAATCCAACAAAAATTCAATTGTGGAAAAATTCAGGCAACATTTTTCTTCTCCTCAATTCAAGAACATTCAAGAACAGCAGAAGCAGCAAGAGAGAGGAAGTGGGACCAGCCAGTCATTAATGCCCAAGCTAGATTGGAAAAAAGCGAGTGAGAAAGCTTTGACTTTAGCTGGCTGCAGCACTGTTCAAGGGCCCCCAAGTCAAGCTGTTCACACTACCACAGCAAGCAAACAATGTGAGAAAAAAGACAAAGAACCTAATATGCAAAGTACACCAGAAGTTGGTACCGAAGAGATGTTGGTACATGGAAGTACAGTGAAAAAGAAGCTGGTTTCTAGTACTATAGAGGATCATGTCAGCTGCAACTCAAAGAATGTCAATACTGTTGGTAAGGTGCATCAGATGGAACCAATCCAGTCTGTTCCTTTGGTTCACCGAGTTTCACCTAGTGCAAGTGCCCATCAGAACAGATTTTTGACTTAGTGATATATATGAATACAAGTATGCATCATTTGATCCTTACCAAGCTTCACATATTCAACCTTAGTGTAAGAGTCAAAAAGGTAATATCTTTGGTGAGGAATAAATATCCTTACACTGTTAAGTGATCGAGAGAATCACTTGATTTTTGAAAACCATCCGGAATGAAAACTAAGCAAGTAGATAAAATGTACTTTATGATCTGTTCTGTCTCTCAATATCCCAAGGTGGTGAGAAGCGTGTGTTCCACAAATTTTAGGCGTAAGGGTAAGTCACCGTGCATATTTACTTAACATGAGAGAGAGTACCCAAACTATGCACTTGTACATTCTAGATATACAGCATGGTAGCAACTCCTGATCAACAACCAAGTTTTGTTTCCCTTTCGTCCTTTACTCGGGACAAGCAAAGGTTCATACTTGAGGGGTTTTGTTGATGGTCGTTACAGACAAATTTCGACCGTCAATATAACTAAATAATGGAGAAATAGCTATGCTTGCAACGCATATTTATTTTCAAATAATATAGTTCCACTTGTACATGGAGAATAACATGTTGCACGAATTTATGAAATAAAATAAAGAGAGAGTGGAGAGAACATCACTCCTAAGCAAGCAAATGGATAAGGAGGACCCACATGACAGGTGTAACCGCCGAAAACTGCCTTAACCGCCACAATCGTCATTGGGACCCAGCCTCCTTGCCAAACTTGGAGGCCTGTTGGGCTGGCCCAGGTTCGGCCGAACCCTAGCAGCTGCGGCTCCAACAGGCCTTACACGTGGGTGTACAGGATCGCTTGCTGATGACGGTTACGAGGGTAAAATCGACATTTCACATGCCAATAACCATCATACCGACCATATAAAAGGAGGAGCTCACTTCACTTCGCAACACACTCAAGCAAGCTCAAATTCCTCTTCATACTTTAGTATTAATATCTTAGTGCCAAGTGGAGTAGAATAGAATAGTATTCGGAGTCTTCGGAAGAGTTTTAGTATGACTCTAGCAGCTTTTGTATTCTCTTCTGTACAACTTTCGATATTAATGAAATACTCTTCTTTATATATCTTCGGTACTTTATTTAGTATGAATACTGTTCTTACTTTATATCTGTGCCGTACCAATTGTGTGGGTAGCCTGCCAGAGAGGTGCAATAGTGCGGGTTTAATGTCTAATTTATCAGTTACTCTATGTCATGTGCACGGGCATAGAGTAGTATTTAGTAATGTAAGCATGGTGCTTAGATTAATTATTAAATATCATTAATTGGGCATATATGCTGTGGGACAGTAGAGGTGGGCCGCTGATGGTGACAACTCAGTACGGGTATTCCTCCACGTTAGTATATATTTCTAAGACAAATTCATGGGGAGGGTACTCCTCCGTATTTAGCCCCGGTTGGACGGCTATGATAGGTTAGCCACACGATTGTATATTAGAAGATGTAAACTAGAATTTGAGTGTATACTAGAAGTATAGGAATTAAATGCTTTATCTTTCTTCTTCCACTTAGTTAGAATTACTTTATTACGTAGATTTGGTCAGCTTTGCTTCGTGTCACTATACCCCTATATTAAACTTAACCACTGCCTAGACTTTGACAATTACAAGTAATATATGTATAAAGTGCATTAGCAAAGTTCACTCTTATCATCTTCCCTTGGGATTAAAAATGCGATACCTTGAAATACTTCTGGGTGAAATGCTACAATGGTATATCCGTGCGCTTGCGGATTACTTCTGTAACCATAAATATACCAGGACTATTTCTGGCGCCATTGCTGGGAATGAATATTTCTAGTAATGCCGTTAAGAAATATCAACACCAACGAAGTTGTCCATAAAACCCCTTGTAAGGAGATGTGCATGGACCCGCTGAGCCGGAAGTTTTCTATCTTTCTTGCAATCATAGCATGGACATCAAATATAATCCTGTGCGTTAACTGAGTTTGTACTTGTGGCCACGGCAACGAGAGCCGTTACACCCGTAAGATACTCCATAGAGTCATGATCCACTGTAGTTATCCGTTGTAGATCCATTACATCTAATGGGTGCCTGCGATTATTATCATTTATTATAAACCATGAACATTAATAAACAAGGAGGATTTCATAATTTACACCATAGAGTCATGATCCACTGTAGTTATCCGTTGTAGATCCATTACATCTAATGGGTGCCTGCGATTATTATCATTTATTATAAACCATGAACATTAATAAACAAGGAGGATTTCATAATTTACAGGCACACTAGATTAAATAAAAACGAGAAATGACCATTTTACCTCTATGATAAAATTGAGATTTTTTTGCATACACCCACGTCGCATTAGATATTCATGGCTAACAAAAATATCATGCCTATGCAATGATTAGTTGATTACATGTTTTTCCATATGGGTCAAGTCGTCATTTAAATTTTGGCTAGTGTGAAACATTAATGACGATGGAATAGAAGGAATAAAATAAAACAATAATTCAAAATTAGCATGGCATCCGAGAACAGATCTACCAATGACTGATGGATCCACACAAATGACTAGTGCATTTTACAAGTATTATCACACGGTAACTCAATTCAACGAGTAAGTGTGAATCGGGGTGAGAAATAATGAATATTTACCTTGTAAGCTTCAATTTTCAACCAATACCTAACAAAAATCGAGCAAATCCGCTCCCCTAGTGGATCTATGGGCACCCCTAAGAGAAATTTGAGATTTATGGCACACAAGTCAAATTTAGCATAGATGGAAGAAAAATTTAACATAGATGGAAGAAAAATTTAGCACCTATAGTGCCGGCACTGATGTAGTAGTGCCAACAACGTCAAATTTGACTTGACGTTCAAATCTATGCTATAAATCTATGCAAAATTTAGCATAGATGGAAGAAAAATGGCCAACAACGTCAAATTTTGCTCTGTAGTAGTGCCAACAACATCAAGTCCAGCGTGTGGCACCTGCCACCGGTTTGGCTGTCCATGCAAGAGATTTACTTTCTACCACGTGAGTGAGCACTTCACGGCCATGTTCCGGCGCAAAGCCATGCCCATCGTGCACTGGTACATTGAGGCATGGACGATGTGGAGATTATGGATAACCCATACCTACACGGCATGTATAGTTCGACTAGGTATGGGGTGCCATGTGTAGAAAGAATATATTTAGAGAGATTCGGGTTAAAATCTAAACTTGTATGTTAAGAAAATATCCGAGATCCTAGTCGGTTACGATTGTATTTTATCTGTAACTGCATATTCCGTTAGGGATATGGACTATATTTTGTAATACGGACCCCTTCCCCTATATAAAGAGGGGTCCGGGTGTATCTAGGGGCACGATTTTCTTCCAGATCATACGATCGATAATATACTCGGCGGATCAATCCCCGGATAGGAGTAGGGTATTACTTCTTGATTAATTAAGAAGGCCTGAACCTGTATAAAATTTCTTATCTCAAAACCCTTCCACTTTTCCAGCTTGATAGCTACCCCTTTTAGTATTGCCGAAATCTTGTTTCGACAGATGAGATGGAGTACTGCGCCTAAGCAGAGAGCAACATGAACCCATGAACGACCTCGTTATCGATTAGTTGCAGTGCCTGGATGCCACCGCCGAGGTGTACGGCAAGGAAGGGCACAATGGGGAGCTAGCTCAACGCACCGGCGTCATCGTCGTCGGCCGACCAGAGGATCACGGTCTCACAGAGCTGTCCATGGTCACTCTCGATCTGGCCCACTCTCATTTTGGTACTGGGCTACCCATTTTAGGTACTTTTAAGTGGGTAGCTCCTATTTTTACACCATTCGATTTCTCCCGCTGGATGATCTGTATTTGTTTCAACCATTGTAAAAATTTCTCAAGAAAAAAACAAGCTTCCGTTGAGGACAAACAAGAAATATCATAAAACCGATGCAACAAATGGGTTATAAAATGGTCCCTTCGAGGGTCCTCCCTTTATGTAGAAACAAGGACCCAACAAACTTCAGGTATCATCAACACTGTAATAGCAATAACCAAACATCACAGCAATACTAACATAGCAGAGCAAAAACAAACGCAACATATATGAGTTCCATGGGATGTAGATGCATACTACGGCATCCCTATTTATTTTCATACAACCAATGCAAGAACCGTAACAATATATATAAACTCGATGGCAAAGACCGAGGTTCTGAGAACGATTGGTCGGTGCGGTAGCACCAATATCTTTCGACCTTTCAAGAAGTGAATGTGTGATCAATGATTACCTTCAGTCCCTCAGTGCTATCTTTCAAATCTCGTACCAACAGGTCATTTATTTGAGCGGTTTGCTTATCCTCTTCTCTTGGTTTAGCTTCTCTGAGGCGCACCCCTTTGAGATTTCCTAGCGTGTCAATGCCAAATAGGCCTTCAAACGCTTGAAACTGCATCTCAATCATCTCAAGGGCTGGCATTGCATTGTGACAGAAGCCTAGCTTTGGAACAAGAGGTGCAAAGAAGCGAAGTAGCTTAAGACTCTTGAATCCTTCACCTGGAACAAAGATCTCCCCATCGGACAGTGATTTGTTGTCCTCGATGATGTCCTTCATCTTTTTGTCCTGATCCTTCTCCATCTCACCAAATGAGAAAGAAAAGGTAAGAGAAAACAGCGGCAGGGCACGGAGGTGCTCTAGAGTATCTGTCCGGAGAACTGTTAGAGACAGAGTTAGCTTGCTCAATGTCCGTAGTGTCTTGATCCAACCTGGGGGTTTTTTCAACATGCCGGAAAGCTCAAGGGCAACAAGATATCTTGGGGGTGCGGACATGTTACCCAAGGAGTTGATAAAATTAGATTGACCTTCCTCATTGATCGCCAAAGTCTGGAGACCACAGCTGCAAAGATACTCAATAGAAGAGCGTAGTTCTGTCAAGATTTTCCTTGTGCCCGGTTCCTCTGGGTTGAGCTTGAGCTTGTAAATAGTAAGCTTCTTTAGACCCGTCAATTGATGAAGGCCTGCTACAGCTGTTGTCTCATCGATCTTGATCCCAGACAGTATCCGGAGTGCTTTCATTCCTTCCTTCTCTTTATCTTGGGTCAACATACTTTTGTGTTGCTGCTTCTTACTTTTTTCTTGAGGCAGCCTCAACCCTTTCCGTGGGTTTTTGTTTTTACTCCCACCAAGTATTCTGCTGATTAGTTTTAGCTGCTCTACTTCTTTCGGCAGCTCTTTAACACGTGTTTCTCTTATGTCAAGAGTTTCCAAATACTCGAGCTTCACAATCGTCGGCGGAACATGGGTAATATCCGTCCCTCGGAGGCTCAAATACTTCAGCACAAACATCTTACAAATGTGTTTCATATGCCTGTTCTTGAATCCCTTCAGTCCTTGAAAATCCAGGACTTGTATTATTCTGTCATTGAAAGCATGGAATGGAAGCTGGGTGAGGCTCCCGAAAACGGTCAGTGACCGAACTTGTGACAGATTCATGCCTTTTGTTGAATCTCCATGCTTGGAACTGCTGCTCTGCATGGAAAGCCGACGGACTTTGTTATTACTGGGTGCTATCATCATCAGATGACCACCAACCACAGTAATAAAATTCTCTTCTCTTGCCTTGGTCACAATATAGTCAAGAACCATGTCATGAACTTGAAAGGTTTTTAGTTTCCCGTTGCTGCTGTGCTCCACAGGACGTATCAACTTTCTTCTTAAAATATGATTGAAGTATGATTCCGCAACTTCCTCCGCCGTCAGCCCTTGCTTTGCATTGACAAAACCTTCAGCAATCCATCGCCTGGACAGACACTTCCTACTAATTTTCCAACCCTTTGGAAATATTGCCAAGTACAGTAAGCAGGTTCTGAGATATCCAGGCAAATTATTGTAGCAACAATCAAGTATCCTTGTAACCCCATCCAAATTGAGAGAAGTTTCTTGTTCCTGAGCCCCAGCAGTAATAGAAACCTCTTCTGGCAATAATTTGTGAAGTCCAGCCCAGTAACTCTTTGGCTGGTCTTGGTTGCACGCCACTAGACCAGCCATGGTAACTATGGCCAAAGGCTGACCCCCACACCTTTTCCATAAATCACCAGGGACATTGTTCTGTACCTTGTGTCTATCTTTGGTGCTTTTGGATTCAGAAACACTTCGGTTGAATAGCTCCTTGGAATCACGAGGACTGAGGAAACTAATCGGATACAATAGATCCTTGTTTTCTGGCCGGCAGCAGGTCGAACCAACCGCTTGAAATCTTGAAGTAACTATTATTCTACTGCGCTCTTTATTATCAGTTAGCAACAAATAATCTGATATTGTTTTCCATGTTTTTGCAGACCATATGTCGTCAACCAGGATTATATACCTGGCAACAAAAAGAAGACGACAATGTGAGGTAGACGAAGAGTCCATCATCCAGTAACAAGCTTATAAATTGAAAACTACAAACATACATAATGTGCCACCACGTACACAAAATAATAAGGAATAAAGCAAATGATTTAAACTAGGAAGGTAGCCCGCGTGAATGCGCAGACATGCATCACATGGTAAGTTTGAGATACTTATAAGAGCGAAATATTAACCGGAGAACATCTACCATGATTTCTCTGTAAATTGTTTTCATCAGCATTAATTGCTTTTATAATTTTCTAACCTCTGAACTTTATATTATATCATATTTAAGTAATATCTATGAGCAATTATTTATAATCGTCTTCATCATTTGAAAAGAAGGTAGATTTATTTTCTTTAGAAAACATGCCAATGAAAAGTAAGTGTAAAGTAAAACTAAGGTATTTTTCTTTATTTTAATTGCATATATATTATCATGGTTTATTCGAGGATGAATTGGGTGGGACAGGAAGCTCCACTAAAAGTATGGATCAATTTATATAGCCTAATATGATTGATGTAGTTTGAGAAACTACTACAAAACTTCAAATAGATGTTGACACTATAGGTGCTAGAAATATTACAACCGGCACCTATAAAACTTTTCCCAACTCTGCGGAGTGACAAAATAGAAAACCCACACCTTTTAGTAACTACATGTGCCGGTTCTAAAGAAAACCGGCACCTATATCATAAGTGCTGGTTTTTTAAACTAAAACGGTACCTACATAGAGGTTAAAAGTGCCGGTTTATAAAATAACCGGAACTTTAATAGAGACGAGCGAGGATTTTTTTTTTCTAGTCCTTATCTTCTCCCGCACCTCCCACCACCGCTCATTCTCTGTCTCGCCTTTCCCCTCACCTTTCCCCTCCTCCTCCTCCCATTTCCCCTCACCTCCTTCTCTACCTCCTCCACCGGCAGCGACAGTGTGGGAAGGCCACTGGCCACCTCCTCCTCTCGTTCCTTCCCACCAGCCACCGGCGCTCGCGGGTGGCCAGATCCGGCGCCGCTGCTCCTCCCCTCCGTCCCACCCCTTCCCATTAGCGCTCAGAGCGGCTAGATCCGGCACGCCCGCCCCCCCCCCCACCCCACTGGTGCTAGGGGGTGGCTAGATCCGGCACCCCCACCACACCGGCGCTCATCGGCGGCCAGATCCGGCACCGCTGCTCCTCCTCTCCGTCCCACCCCCTTCCCATCGGCACTCGGAGCGGGCAGATCTGGCACCCCCCCACCACACCGGTGCTCAAGGGCGGCCAGATCCGGCGCAGCCGCTCCAACTCTCCATCCCACCCTCATCCCATCAGCGCTCCAGGCAGCCAAATCCGGCGCCGCCCTGACCACCGGAGCTTGGGGGCGGCCAGATCCGACGGTGGTGGTGGAGGAGGCCGGGTGTAGTGGACGTTGGCGGAGGTGGAGGCTGGGCGTGGCAGGAGGCCCCCACGAAGGTGCAGTGGGCTGCCTCCTTGATTGATTTTTGATTTTGTGGTGTTTTTGAATGTGTTGTTGGATGGCGAGCAACAGAAATGTGTTGTTGTTGTTGTTGATTCACTACTGTCTCTTTTTGTTGTTGTTGGGTGGATGGTGAGATTGTGAGAAATGTTGTTGTTGATGTTGATGGATGTGTTCTTGGATTTGGGTGATGGGGAGTTGCACGATGCACAATATTTTTATATTTACACAAAAAAATTGAATAAGACAAATGGTCAAACGTTGGTTAAAAAGCCAACGACGTTATACATTAAAATACGGAGGGAAGTACGTATGTATACATACAACTATTCACGGGATTTTTTTTATTCGGGGAGGTTACATGGGATGTATTTTAAATAAATCTAATCTAATGGTTTAAAAATAGCGGGATCCGCCACCGCCGTCGTCTCCTGTTCGGGATCCGCGCCAGCCGTCCTCCGCCGCCTTGTCGCTCGCCTTCGCCAGGCGCGCGACGGCGCAGACGCTCCGGGCGCAGCTCCTGCCGTCGGCGGCTTGGCGAGTTCCTGACTTCATCGCGGCCCCACTGCTGCGGCGGCGGCGGGTAGGAACCACCGAGGCTGACGAGGCCGTGCAGACTGCGACTGAGGTGAGAGGGGCTTGCTTCCCCATCCCCCTCGGAGGGTGATTTGTGCATTTTGTTGCACACCACATGTTTTTTTGTTGCACATAGTGTGTCCATGATGTTGCAATCCGTATTTTTCTGGATGTTTCTTAAATCAATACTGGATGTTGCATTTGGTCTCTTCGGGATGTTGCATATATTGGTTTTTTGTTGTTGCAGACAATGTTTTTTAGTGTTGCATTCGATTGAAACATGTTCGATAATGCAGTGAAACATCTTCGATAAAGCAGTGAAACATTCCTCAAAGATAAAACATCAAGAAACAATTCGTGTTGAAACATTTTTTTTGAGCAATGAAACATTGCAACATTCATTCAACATACTGTGAACATCGTCTGGGAGATTTCACGTTGAAACATTTTTTTTCGAGCGATGAAACATTGCAACATTATTTAATATACAGTGAAACATTGTCCAGAGATTTGCAAATCTCCGGACGTCCGATCCGTAGCTTTCCCCCTATTTTTTTCTTCCGGCTAACAGTAGGAAGCTTTATTTGATTTTTTTTCGATTGTATTAACGTACATATATTTATGTTCTCTTTCCTTTTCCCAGCCACCAGTTAAATATGTTATTTGGAGAAAAAACTATCACCTTTTTAATAATAGATCTAATCTAACTGTCTAAAGTATCATGTCCATCAATTTAAATAAAAATCGACGGTGAGATTAGATAGTGCCATGTGGCGGTCTAGAAGTCTTTGTAGGAGCACCACGTGGCGGTTTGAGAGCTAGCGTTTGTAGAAAGTTTAATGAACTTTTAGTATATAGATATAGATATAGATATAGATAGATGGATGGATGGATGTACACACCTCTTTTTATCCAGGAGCTTCTTTATTTGGCTTTCGAGTTTGTTGTCGGTGGTTTCTGTGCGCTTTAGATTGGAGGTCTCCTCAATACTGCGAGGGCTGCTTTGACGGAGACTTCCTGTGCGCTGCACGTCTCGCTTCAATTTGCTTCCAAAGCGTGCCAGTGTCTTGATATTCTCAGAGGTTCCAGTCTTGCTGCTGCATTGCTGCCTGTAATCTGGGTCTATTTGCTTGAGAATATCATTGAGTACGGCATCAAGGTCATAGTTCTGGGACACAGTAACCCACGCCCGGCAATCAAATTGATACATGACTTTCTTGTACAATGCCATGGCAATGGTGGTCTTCCCCACACCCCCAAATCCAACAATGGACACAACAGCAGGCTCCTGACAAGCAGTGCCGTCCACCCACTCCTCAAGATCCTTCATGGCCTTCTCCATCCCTACAGGCTCATTCATACCAAGCTCATGGCTTGCGAGCTGATCCTCAGCAATGTCATAAGACGTCGCATCGGGCGGGCCCTTGCCTTTTTGGGTATTTGGATTTTCCACTCCGTATCTTATGCGTCGGTCAGCAATCAGCTGCGCCCGGACCTTAAGCTCAGCAATACTGGATGCAATCTCACGGCGAGGCCCGAACGTCCAGAGGTCATACACTAGTGTGACTATCCAGGGGCAGCATTTTGCATCCAAGGAATCGTTGGGGAGGCGGTGAGCAAAGTCATCTATGCAGTCCTCACAGTCATATGCCATGTCGCGGATCTGCTTCATCCAGTGCTTCTTCCTGTTGTCAGGGTCTTCCCGGGCGAGGTCAAGAAGGAAGGCCTTCATGCTGGCGAGCTCGTCACTGATGTACTGGATGTCACCACGGACGCCCCTGATCAGATCATACTCCTGGGCGAGAAGGTTGCCCAGCTTGCCCAGGAGAGAGTCCATGGTGGCAGTCGAAGCACCAACCACCAACTCCATCTTCGTGTTCTTTATGTTCTTCAATGCAGTGTATAAACAGCAAGCAAACACAAGGTCAGAGTGAATTGCCAATGTACAGGACCAGCTGAACATATAAAAAAGATCTTAATCAAAATGTATGATGAATCACATCGGGACGATTGCGCGAGCTATAAATTATCGGTTTTTTTTTTTTTTGGATCCACTGGTACCAATAGTTAGCTAGCTAATTATTAGCAAAGGTTGTTCTGATCCATCTCCTAATAGGATGCTAATAGATGGTTGTTGTCACCTATTAGCAGCCATGAACCTGCTAGTGAAACTAATAGTTAGCAATCGCCTAGCTTGTAGTTACTCAGTCTTACGGCTGAAGTTTGCAAACTGGTAGATTTAGCTGATACCGTTCTTAGCTTGTCAAGTACCAATTCAAGAACCTATGCAAATTATAGCAATAGCTGTGCTGAAGTTTTTACACACTAAAATGCTAATACAATCTTCTTTGAAATATCTTCTTTCAGGCTCCCTTGGTAGTGCTTGTGTTCTGGGTGCAGTTTCTTTTCTCGTCAGTAACCCAAGAAACTCTGAAGCTGGAACTTTGGTTTCTGATTCACTTGATAAGATAGGAGAAATATTCCTAATTATCATACAAGCTGTGCAGCAGCTTGACCCAATATGATTTGTGAGATGAATCACCTCCTCTTACTCACATAGACACACTGAGGAATGAAAAGGCCAACAAATAAACTAGAGAAACAGGATGCAAAAAAAGTATTTCTAGTTCACCGAAGAAACACTTTCATGTATGGAGAAATATTAATTTCTTGAGAATCTGGAACTATGCCAAGCTCAAGCTCTTCCTGAGTCCAATCTGGCGAGGAATAGATTGTTCGACATCGAGTAAGCAAACCTAGCAATCACCGCGGCTTCTAGCGCCAACAATTTAGGCACCAGTAGATGCGGAGAATATTTCGAACTAGACTAGAATATCCATAACTGGATTATCATTGATACACAGAGTACTCAATAAATAAAACAAACTACCCGACAACAACTTTAGTTCTTGCTTGCAAATACGGAAAGTAAAATTAATTCCAATCACATAGTACGTAGTACCTTGTAAGTTAGCTCAAGGAAAATAGTTGTTCACCGGCCGGCAAGAGCATGAGCGATCTTGTTAGCTGGCTCAACGGGGGGGGAAGAACAAAGGAAGGCGCTCTCAGTCTCAGATCTCAGTCTCAGATCGCTCAAGTGATAGAGAAGCGGAGGGGCTCCAGTTTTGGGTGCAGAGGAGGGACGCACCTGCGGCATGGGCTAATTAATATACCCAAATGTCCATTAACAAAAAATAAGCGTTCTCGAAATTTGAGTAGCTGTTGTCTCGCTCCTGTTTTGTTTTTATTTTATGAAACGTTTTGGTCTTCTTCTAAGGGCGTCAAGTCAATGGCTAGCTCACACAGTGGCCGTGTTTAGTTGTTTTGGTAAAAAAAATTTTAACTATACGGATACACATTTAAAGTATTAAACTTAGACTAATAATAAAATAAATTACAGATTCCGTCTGTAAAATGCGAGACGAATCTATTAAATCCAATTAATCCGTCATTAGCAAATATTTACTATAGCACCATATTGTTAAATCATGGTGTAATTAGGCTCAAAAGATTCGTCTCGCAATTTACATGCAAACTGTATAATTGGTTTTTTTGTCTACATTTAATACTCTACACATGTATCCAAAATTTAATGTAACGGAAAAGTTGAAAGTTTAAAGGGAACTGAACACAGCCAATATCTATGAGTACAACTTTGGCTGTGTTTAGTTCATGCTAAAAATGAAAGTTTGGTTGAAATTGGAACGATGCGACGGAAAAGTTGGAAGTTTGTATGTGTAGGAAAGTTTTGATGTGATGGAAAAATTAGAAGTTTAATGAAAAACTTCGGATCTAAACACCGCCTTTATTACGGGAGTATCTTTCTTCCTTCCCTCTGCCCTCCTTTATGAACAAACCCACCATTGGCCTGTATTTTGAGTGAGGTAGGTGTGGAGAGAACAGATACTAGACTTTTATCTTTCTGTCTTCTCTCTCTTCCACGTAAACAACGTGTTAAACTCCTGTAAAAAAAACATGTTACACTACTCCCTTCGTACCTATATTTTTGACGCCGTTGATCTTTTAAATATGTTTGACCGTTCATCTTATTTAAACACTTTTGTGAAATATATAAAACTATATGTATATATAAAAGTATATTTAACAATGAATCAAATGATAGGAAAATAATTAATAATTACTTAAATTTTTTTAATAAGACGAACAGTCAAATATGTTTAAAAAGTCAATGGTATCAAATATTTAGGGACGGAGAGAATACATTCCTATGAGTTAGCTGAAGTGGCACAGTTGGGATGCACTAAGCTGGTATTCCTAGCATGCTGTCTGTGTTGTCGCATTGCTTTTAATATAAGCAGAGTAAACTCCTTTTTTGAAAAAAAATTAAACAAATATCCATTAATAACCAACGAAGCCAGTGCCAAACTGGAAGTCCACAACACTATACAAATCACATATGTATTACTATTTCTCACCTCTCTTCTAAGTTCCAAGCTACTTTAATTTTATCACTAAGAAAAACTTATCTAAGTTTGATTTAGTTTACGGAAATATGCACCAACATCTAGGACAAAAAAGATAAATCCTAAAAACTTTCACAAAATATACAAATTTTCACCATAAATTCAGCGAGCTTTAATCAATTTTTATACTAACAAGCATTAGATCTAATAGATTTTATAAAAAAATTACCCATATCTGTGGTTATGAAAAACAGCACAGAGTAACACTAAATTTTCATATAAATTACTAGTCATCTTTTCTATTTCGTAACACAAACTAATTAACCTCTTAAATTTGGATCAAAATTACCCATTGATACCATTATCATAAACAAACTGAAATTTACTCCCAAATGTACACCTAGTTTGCCAACCTATGCACCTAGGACTCCCAGTTGTTTTTAGATAATGAAAAAATCCGGCTTCAGCTTGTCGTCAATGCCATAGTGACAGGGGGAAGGGGTTGCTTAACTGATGCCCCATAGGACGCTAGCTCATGGTGGCCCTTGCGACCTCCTCCTCGAGACACAGTGTTGGGTGCAGTGCCTTTACTTGAGCTGGTAGTAGTGTAGTAGTAGGAGCCAAATCTAACCATTGATCCTGATGGGTACTTAAGAATTTTACTTCTACACCGTGGAAGGGTATTTTCGTTATTTCAGATGCTCCCAAGAAGGCTAGTGATTCGCTGGTTCCCGTTCTTTTTGCGCGAACCCACGGCCACGGCGGCACCGCCCCTCACCTCAATGCGCGGCCGCCGCCCGCTGCCCCTCCTTGCGTAGTCGCGTGAACCCACGGCCACGTACGACGGCGCCATCCCTCCACCCCCTGTGGCCCTGTGCACCGCAGCACCGCTTTATTTTTGGGATATGATGGTGTATCTGCTCTAGGGAAGGTCGCTTTGTCGAAATGTGTTCTTGAATCACTCAATTGCTATACTGCAAAACTAATTACTGAATCACTGATGTTTAGCTGATGATGTATAATTTAATCATTTTCGCATTAGCATCAGGCAAATGAGCTAATGCCGAAGCTCGTTTATCTGCAGCAGAACTGAGTTGATGGACCAAGTACTGAGTTCTAGACTCAACTGAAATAAGGTTAAAAAAGAAAGCTCAACGACTTGCGGTTGCAAGCACACTCTCACTCTATTAGCGTCATTCTAATCAGCTATCCGAATCTACAATTTGACTGACAAAAATAACTACAATCAGATATGTGCTAAAACTGTGTTAGTGTCTTCTTATAATCAGCTATTTCAATCTGCAATTTGACCGACAAAAACAACAATTGACAAGAAATTGACCAACACCAGCATGGCTACGACGGTCTTGAACCCTTCATCGGTTTGATCACCTTCCGGCCTTGTCTTAGATTCTGATATGGATCATCCCACTTCAATTAGGTGTTGCTAAACCTTGATGCTACGGTTGAAACAGGTGTACTAGCAGAGTCCTTTTTTTTTTTTTTGCGAGAGTACTAGCAGAGTCCTTTGACAGGATCTCATCATCAGTACCAAATTGACGGCACTGCCAAACGCGTGAAGTGCGGCGGCCTCCGTCGCGCACAGCAGCACTGCAGGTCTGCAGCATCTCGCCTCGCCTCCGTTCTCCCTCTCGCATCTCATTTATCGACAGAACGACTCTCCTCGCCATCCCCGCGTGCTGCAGTTGTGAACTGATTGGGCATATTGACCCGTGGACTAGATTACGAACTTACTCCTAAGCCAATTGCAAATTCATCACAATGCCATCTATTACATTTCTAACATTACCCCTCCACGAATTATACTACATCTACTACCAGGTGTAGTACGATTGAATCTAATCCATTAGATCGAATCAAATGGACGTCTCACATTCATTTTGAGGTACTTTAAAAAAAATCCTTGGGACACCTTCTCGCGTCGCGGCATCCTTAGCCAGTGCTGCCGAATGCATTGAAGATACTGTTTTTACATGGAACCGGAGGCTGCGTGGGATGGAGATTTCGGGAAGACCTTGCTCAGGGCGGCAGGGACTTATCATGATGTGACATATTTTAGTAGAGCTTTGAAAAATTATACAAGTCACATATTTTGTCTATTTGAGTTTAATTTTTCTATGATGGGTTCCTGTATTCTCCTAAGTGTGAAAAAAATATCAAAAAAAAAATAAAAATAAAAAAAACTGCATCTCTCTGTATTGTTCAACTTATGACAATTATTTCATGTGGTTATATTTTGAATTAGAGATTAAGTAATTTCATATAGTGGTAGAGTGCATTATGTTTAACATGCTGATCAAAGGGTTTTACTAAAGGAGGTCTAATTTTGATGAAGGTGCAAAGTAGGCTAAGTGGTATGCTATTTTCGAATATCTAGCTAAGTGGTATATTCCGTTTGAGTTTAATTTTTTTTTTGTGGTTGGTTGTATCGTGATCCTAAGTGCGAAAAAACATCAAAAAAATAAAACATGAATAGAGAAACAGGAATACAGGAATGGAGGCGAGGGGTGGGGGGGAAGGGGGTGGCGCCAGCATGACTGGCGCCCTCCTCCCTAGGGCGGCGCCAGCCATGTTGGCGCCCTCCTCCTGCCACGTCGGCGCGCGTGTGCCACGGTGGCAGGAGGACGGCGCCAGAGAGGCTGACGCTGTCTCGTTGGACGACAGCGCCAGCCACTCTGGCGCCCCAAAAAGGACCATTTCTGGGATAAGTTTTTTCAGGGGTCTATTTGCGAGATAAGTTTTTCAAAAGGACCAAAATGTGAAAAATCTAGTCTTCTGGAGAGTCTAGTATAGCCCTTGTACCTTTCCCTTTTCAGTAAGATTCTACTTTATTTAATATACTATTCTTTTCTCTACTTTACTTAGTCTTTGTGCAACATTATCTTTGTCATTGTGCTGTTGTGGTTTCTCTTAGTTCATATAGTTGTATGCCACACGAGGATACAAACGCATGCCTGCAACACTTCATGGAGGGGTATCTCTTAGTTCATATAGTTGTATGCCACACGGGGATACAAACGCATGCCTGCAACACTTCATGGAGGTCTGTGGCACCTTCACCATCAAGGGAATCATATTGGACGCCATCCGTCTTCGCCTTTTGCCATTCTCTTTGCTCAGGAGGGCAAAGCAATTGTTTTGTGCCAACCGTGAACCTGTCACCACCTAGGATAGCTATGGCAAGTCCTTACTCAAGTTCTTCTCGATAGGCAAAACCAATGCCCTTCGTGGAAAGATTTCAAGCTTCCAACAACACGCGAATGAGTTGATTCCGGAAGCATGAGAACGTCTCGCTCCAATAGTACATCCGAGCGTGCCCTAACCATGGCATCAAGATTGGCTCTTGATCCAAGGTTTCTACCATGGGCTCACCAATACCACCTGTAGTCTAACGTTGGAAGAGCTTTCTTCTCACTCAATGTGAGGGAAGAGACGAAACTCATCAAAAATATGGTCTCCAACCCAAGAAGCAAGGGATGCACACCATCAATGAGGTGGACATGCCCTCCGC